CGGGCCCTCAGGCCACCCTCATGGTTTGTTTCTGATTGTTTGGTAAGAAACATTCACACCAGTGGCCTGATGGAGGTCATTTAGTGGGTTCTGGCAGTGCCCATCCTGTTCCTCCTTGCACAGAGCAGCAGAAACCAGTCCTGCTGATGGGTTAAGGTCCTTCTACGGCCCTGTCCAGCACTCCTAGAGTAAGTGCCTGTCTCCTGGAATCTCCTCCATGCTCTTGAGACTGTGCTGGGAGACACAGCAAACCTTCTGACAATGGCAGATACTGATGTGCCATCCTGGAGGAGTTGGACTGCCTGTGCAACCTCTGTAGGATCCAGGTATCGCCTCATGCTACCAGTAATGACACTGACCCTAGCCAAATGTAAAACTAGTGAAAAACAGAATAGATGAGTAGGGTAAAAAAAAAAATGTCAGTGGCCGTCACCTGTAAAACAATTCCTGTTTCGGGGGTCATCTCATTGTTGCCCATCTAGTGCACCTGTTATTAATTTCATTACCACCAAAGCAGCTGGTTAACAATCCCCTCTGCTACTTACCTGACCGGATCAATATCCCAGGAGTTTAATTGACATGATGCTATACTCTGATTAAAAAGCGTTCCTTTAATTTTTTTTGGTGTGTGTGTAAAATGTCTACACACCCCTGTTAAAATGTGAGGTTTCTGTGATGTAAAAAAAGAGACAAAGAAATCATTTCAGAACTTTTTTCACCTTTAATGTAACCTATAAACTGTACAACTCAGTTGAACAACAAACAAATCTTTTAGGTGGAGGGAGGTAAAAATAAAAAAACGAAAATAATATGGTTGCATAAGTGTGCACACCCTTAAACTAATACTTTGTTGAAGGACCTTTTGATTTTATTACAGCACTCAGTCTTTTTGGGTATGAGTCTATCAGCATGGCCCGTCTTGACTTGGTAATATTTGCCCACTCTTGCTTGCAAAAACGCTCCAAATCTGTCAGATTGTGAGGGCATCTCCTTTGCACAGCTCTCTTCAGATCACCCCACAGATTCTCGATTGATTCAGAACTGGGCTCTGGCTGGGCCATTCCAAAACGTTAAATGTGCTTCTGGTGAAGCCATTCCTTTGTTGATTTGGATGTCATATTGAAAGATATAGTTCATCTTCATATTCAGCTTTCTAGCAGAAGCTTCTATATCAATATTGACTGATATTTGGAACTGTTTCTAATTTCCTCTACCTTGACTAAGGCTCCAGTTCCATTTGAAGAAAAAAAAAAAGCCCCAAAGCATGATGCTGCCACCCACGTTTCACTGTGGGTATGGTGTTCTTTTGGTGATGTGCAGTGTTGTTTTTGCACCAAATATAGATTTTGGAATTATGGCCAAAAAGTTCAACCTTGGTTTCATCAGACCATAACACATTTTCCCACATACTTTTGGGAGACTTCAGATGTGTTTCTGCAAAATTTAGCTGGGCTTGGATGTTTTTCTTCGTATGAAAAGGCTTCCGCCTTGCCACTCTACCCCATAGCCCAGATATATGAAGAATACGGGAGATTGTTGTCACATGTATCACACAGCCAATACTTGCCAGATATTCCTGCAGCTCCTTTAATGTTGCTGTAGACCTCATGGCAGCCTCCCAGACCAGTTTTCTTCTCGTCTTTTCATCAATTTTGGAGGGACGTCCAGTCCTTGGTAATGTCACTATTGCGCCATATTTTCTCCACTTGATAACAGTCTTCACTGTGTTCCATGGTATATCTAATGCCTCGGAAATTCTTTTGTACCTTTCTCTTGACTGATACCTTTTTAACAATGAGATCCCTCTGATGCTTTGGAAGCTCTCTGCGGACCATGGCTTTTACTGTAGGATGCGACTTAAGAAAATGTCAGGAAAGACCTACTGAAACAGCTGAACTTTATTTGGGGTTAATTAGAGGCACTTTAAATGATGGCAGGTGTGTACTGACTCCTGTGTAACATGATTTTGAATGTGATTGTTTAATTCTGAACACAGCTACATCCCCAGTTATAAGAGGGTGTGCACACTTATGCAACCATATTATTTTAGTTTTTTTATGTTTACTCCCCATCCCAATAGATTTGTTTGTTTTTCAATTGAGTTGTACAGTTTATATGTGCCATTAAAGGTGGAAAAAGTTCTGAAATTATTTATAATTGTCTCATTTGTTTACATCACGGAGACCTGACATTTTAACAGGGGTGTGTAGACTTTTTATATCTACTGTATATAGCAGGTAAAATAAGAATTAAACACATCACCAGCTTTCTCAGTAAATATATTTCTAAGGTGCTATTGACATGAAATTTTTACTACATGTCGGTATTAACCCATACATGCAAAGACACCAAAACAAATAAATTCCGAAAATAAGTTAAGTGTATTAAAATGGAATGACACAGGGAAAAAGTACTGAACACTCTAACTGAAATTTATTTAACCGCTTCTCGACCACCCTATAGCAGAACTACTACTACAGGGTGGCAGGGTTGTGCAAAATCACGTATACATACGTGATTTCGCATTTCTGGCCAGGAGGCACGAGCATGCCGCCCTACCCGTGCTGGCTTTGGCGGCTACAGCTGTCGACCACCGGGTCCCAAGATTCCCCGCCGGCACCTGGCGATCGCTAAGGAACACTGATAGTAAACAATACAGATCTCTCCCATCAGCACCAGCATGCTGTTTTGTATGGCTCTACATAGCAGAGCCATAAAAAGCAGCATGCTTACATGGTAAAACCGCATATAAAGTGAAACACACAGTTAACCCTTTGATCGTCCCAGATGTTAACCCCATCCTGCCCAGTGTCAGTAGTGTTATTAGCATTGATCACTGTTTTAGTGTAACTGAGGATGTCAGTGGCAGTTAGTTTCCCACAGTGTCAGAATGCCCGCCGCAGTCCCGCTATAAGTCACTGATCGCCGCCATTACTAGTATATAAAAAAAAAAAATTTTCAATATATACCACCAGTTGTAGACGCTATAACTTTCACATGAACCAATTAATTTACATGTATTGGGATTTTTCTTTTAGCAAAGACGTAGCAGAATACAATTATGACGAAATTTGACAATTTTTTTTACTGGATATGGTTTATAGCAAAAAGTCAAAAATATATATATTTTTTTTTCTTCAAAACTGGGGGTCTTCTTTTGTTCATAGCGCAAAAATTTAAAAAAATGCAGAGGCGATCAAATACCACCAAAAGAAAGCTCCATTTGTGGGAAAATAAGGACATAAATTTCATTTGTATGCAGCATTGCATGACAAAGCGATTGTCAAAGTAACGCAATGACGTATCGCAAAAAAATGGCCTGGTCAGGAAGGGGGGGTAAATCTTCTGGGGGGCAAGTGGTTAATTCTACGTACAAAATCCTTTGTTGGGAATGACAGCTTCAAAACACCTCCCGTATGGAGAAACTAGTTGCATGCATCTCTCAGGTGTGATTTTGGCCCATTGTTCCACATAGTCTTCAACTTTTGAAGGTTCCCTGGGCCTTCTATAAACTCTGATCATTAGTTCTTTCCATAGATTTTCTATTGGATTCAAGTTAGGTGATTGGCTGGACCATTCTAGCAGATTTCTTTCTTTGAAACCAAATGAGTTTCCTTGGCTTTGTGTTTGGGATTATTGTCTTGCTGAAATGTCCACCCTTGTTTCACCTTCATCATCCTTGTAGATGGCAGCAGATTTTTATTAAGAATGTCTTGGTACATTTTTCCATTCACCCTTCCTTCAATGATATTAAGTTTGGAGGTGGGAACATCATGATGTGGGGCTGTTTTTCAGCATACAGTACTAGCAAACTTCACTGTTGGTATGGTGTTTTTTGGGGTGATGTGCTGTGCCATTTGACCTCCAAACATGGTGTGTATTATGGCATCTAAAGAGTTCAATTTTGGTCTCATCTGACCAGACTATACTCTCCCATTATTTCACAGGCTTGTCTAAATGTTGTGCAGCAAACTTTAAACAAGTTTTTTCTTCAGCAATGGAGTCTTGTGTGGTGAGCGTGCTTACTGGCCATGGTGGTTGAGTGCATTACTTATTGTCCCTGCTAATTCCGAAGATTATATTCATATTCTGGGCAGCAAAATCACTTTGCTTTGTTATATCTGTACAGTGTCTTAGGTTTTTATAGTCAATGTCCAATTAAGAGTGCTGAAATGTTGCTGGTTGCCATGTGGGAGCTTTAAAAACAATGAAGCCCTGTGTTTTTGTGAAAGTTTTTTATTTCACAAATAACCTCTTCCAATAAGAGAAAGGACTGGATTGGTCTGTAAATGAATACTCTAATAATTGGATGTTTGAAGGCTCATTCACTCTCCATGCACTTTTTATGGTTCTTAGAGGCATGTTGCATGAGCATATTCATTTTCTATAGATTCTCAACATGCTTTGAAAGCCTACTTTTTTTTTTCCATCCAACTGCATCATGAGTTTATGCACTAAAGTTCGGCGAGGATCAGGTGCGTTTGTTTTTGAATTTCATGCATCAATTTTCCATTGTTTAATCATATGCCACTAGCCAAAGCAAAATGCATTATTGATAACTCAAACTTGGAGTGACAAGTCAGTTTTGGATGGTCACTACTGTCTTACAGCTGTTGGATGTTTCCTTGTAACAGTTTACCCTGTGTACATTAGGTCTTTCAAAAAAAAAGGCAGACAGACAATTTGGTTGAATGGCCTACCTCCACTTTGTGCTGGCTTTATTTCCACAAGATATAGCATTTCTTACTGTCTCAATACATTCCAAAGATAAGCATTTACACCAACATGCAGTCCTGCTTTAGGACTAAAGGGCATATCTCCCATATATTCAGGCAAAAAAAGAACGTTACAAACAAGCAAAAGTTATTTTATTAGTAAAAAAATAATAACAAAAAAAAAAAAAAATGAAACAAATTTGTCAGATATATTCCCTGCAGAAAAGGGATATGTTTAAATCACAGCAGAGGACTTCAAGCCAATGCAGGGATCTTTAATTAAGCTCATTCAATTCCTTCTTGTTTGTCTTTAATGGCAACCTAGAAAAGAAGGATAAATAGAATCACATATATAAAATTATTCCAATAAAAACTACTTCACCAGGGAAATAACTGTGGCGCATATGTGTTTCACATGGTTTGTTTATATGGACACAGCTGATCACAAAGTAAATACAGTTCCTAGTTATCGGCAGCACTTTCCTCACACTGTCACACTGAGTGAGTGAGCAAAGAGCTGCCGATAAACTGCAAGTGTCACAGAGGACATCTGCACTGATAATCAAGGCACTGATGATCAGTGCCTTGATCAGTGCAGCCCCAAAAGTGCCCAGTACTGCCACCCAACTGTGCCACCCATCAGTGTTGCATATCATCAATGCAGCCTAATCAATTAACATCAGTGGAGAAAATTTACCTGTTTGCAAAATTTTATATTAGAAACAAAGAAACTTTCTTTTTTTTTCATTCAAATTTGTTGCTCTTTTTTTTCATTTATAGCACAAAAATTAAAACACCCAGTGGTGATTAAATACCACCAAAACGTCTGTCCTGGTTAACGGTACGATTTTCTTCATCCTTTCCCATATTGAATGGGACCAGACAAGGATGTCCCCTCTCGCCTCTTCTCTTTGTTTTAGTAATGGAACATCTTGTGCGAGCTATACGAGCTAACGACTCCCCCCGCACACCACAAATTATCCTTATACGCCGATGACCTGCTAGTTTACGTTCAACAACCACTTGTCTCCCTCCCCAGTCTTTTCCACGAATTCCGTAGATTTGGTTCCTTCAGTAACTTTAAACTGAATATCTCTAAAACGGAGGCCCTCAATATTTCTCTACCTGCTCATGTACTAGCGAACCTTCGGCCTAATTTTTCCTTTCAATGGCGATCTAAGGCCATCACATATCTGGGGGTCCTGATTTCGGCTGATCTTACTGCTTTATATTCTCTTAATTATTTACCCTTACTTTCACGTATTCGAAAAGATTTGGCTACATGGGGCACTTCATCCCTTCCCTGGTTCGGCCGTATCAACAACCTCAAAATGAATACCTTACCTAAGCTTATACGTTTTTCAGACGATACCAATCACTGTCCTAAAAGTTTTTTTCCGCTCTTTCCGCTCCCTTTCGATTCAATTTATTTGGCACCGTGGGTTTGAGGGCGGAGTAGGTTTACCAGACTTTGAGCTTTATTACAGAGCTGCGTTGCTGGCCCAGATGCTCGATTGGTTTCCTAGACTTTTTCATCTATGATTGAACAAGATCTTTCTCAGGTGGATCTTCGGGCTTTACCATGGGGGTACGATCGGGACTATCAGCGTTTTTCCGCCTTGTCTTCCTTGACCTTAGCTGTGCTACGGCTGTGGTATAAATGAGGCATAATTGCTCTCTTATCATTCAATCCCTCTCCTTTATCATCCCTATTTGAAAACCCACTCTTCCCCAAGGGTTGGGTTCCTCTATTATAGAACCCTTTACGTGTGCCTCCTGGCCCGTAGCTCGGGACTTTATTTACCCCCAATCGGGTCTTCCGCTCCTTCAAGGTGGGTCTAGGGACTGGCTGACCACTCTACACCTATCTTCATTTTGCAAGCACTTACACTCCAACATCCATTGTCCACTTTCTAAGATTGAACAGCTGTGCTCCCTCCCTGAACCGCCAAGACATGTCCTTGCCTCTCTCTATAAAGTGCTCCATAATGCAATTTATTCTGAACTCCCTTCCTACACTAAGGCTTGGGCTCGAGACCTAGGTAGGGAGGTGTCGGAGGAGGAATGGTCTACGTCATTTCCACTTTACTCATAAATCGTCTAATTTCTTGCTACTCACAAAAAAAGAATTTTAAGCTCCTTTCCCGATGGTACAGGGATCCACTCTCCCTACAAAATATGTTTCCTTCTACATCTGATCTTTGTTGGCGCTGTGATATATGGCTGTTGGTACACAACTCACATTTGGTGGGATTGTGACCGAATACAACCCTTTTGGTGGCAGGTCTTTGCTGTATATAACGAGATCTATGGGGAGTCCTTGGCCCCTTCGCCGGAAATTGCTCTTCTTTCTATATTACCGGGCTCACGGGCTTCACAGAAGAAAAGTCTGCTGCGTTTCTTCCTGTCTGCAGCCCGCCAATTAATAAAACTCTCTTTTGGAAATCGGCTGCCCCCCCCCTGATGTGGGTCTCCGTGCTTAATGATTCCATGCATATGGAGGAAATGCTGGCGTTTACTAATGATACCTATGATAAACATAAGATGTTGTGGTCGGTCTGGCTTAATTTCTTCTCCTCTACGTCTCTCCGTGATATGTGCGCCCCTGCTGCGCTCTAGTGGAGTTATGCCTGGTCCCTCCAACTCGATCTCATTTTGGCTTATCCACTGGTTTGGACCCTGCGGCGCACACTGTGCTGTGTGCGACAGGGTTGTTTCCATGATACACGCATGGGCAGCTATCCCATTGCTGCTTACTGACGTCCCCGTTCCCCATCTTTTTTCTTTCTTCTCCTTCGATACCTTTTCCACTGACCCCCCTTCTTTTCTTTTTCCTTCTGTCCCCCCCTTTTTTTCCCTCTCTTTCTCCTCAATTACGGTTTACCATCTTGGTTGTGCAGAGCTCTTTCATACATCGTGCCAGGGGATACTCCCCTGACAATCTGTTAAGTTTTACCTCCATATAAAGGGGTTATCGCTCCTTCCCTCTTACTGTTATATATGCACTATTTTCATTTACCCACATGGATCGTAACCACCTCTCTGATGTTTTTCTTTTGTTAATATACTTGTACTTTTTTTTATACTTCCTATGCTCGGTTTGTTATTTTTACGTAAAATAATAAAGTCATATTTGCCTTTAAAATACCACCAAAAGAAAGCTCTATATAGTGAAAAAGAATGATTAAAATTTCATACGGGTCATTCAAAGTGCAACAGCGCTGAAAGCGGAAAATTGGCCTGCGCAGAAAGGGAGTAAAAATGCCCGGTAGGCAAGTGGTTAAACCAGAACTCCAAGATCTACCTTACAATGCTCCCAATCCTTCCTCTCCACAAGCTCAATCCCATACCCTTTTTTTTTGTTTTGATTGTAAAATGCTAATTGGGTTTAAAAAAAACTTTAAAATAGTAATGTACTAAAATCCTTTTACGGCCCAGAGCAGGAAGAATGTCCTATGTGGCATGCATGTCACTTCCGACATATCCCATGTGTCACACAGAACTACACATTCCATCAACTTTTGGGATTGTAGTCATGTTTTTGGTTGTTTTTTTTTTTTTTTTTATCTCTGTCACTATCCCCATAGGTGAAAGCCACTGTCACTTCCAGGGTGGGGGAAAGACAGTGATCCGTAGTAAAGGGTTGTTCACACCAGGCCCACATGCTATACTGGGCAGTTTTAACATGCATTTGGTGTCTGTTGTGTTACAGTGTTAAGGGGTGGTGCCTTGCAGTGTTACAACACTAGGCACTATTTATATTTATGTCACAAGATTACATTTCACTTATCTCTCTGCTCTGCAGTGGTGAGATATACTGCCATGAGGCAAGGTGAAAGAATGCAGCAAGGGTGGTTATATCTAATAGAAACAAGGGGCCAAGGACCACAGTAATGGTTTGATAAAGGATATTTTTAATAAAAAACATGAAAGGTACTGCAAATTATGCACCTACCCGAAATCTTTCCCTCCAAAAAGAGACAGTTCACTTATCAAGTCTGTGATAGCATTGGTAAAAGCCTCTTGAGGACTGTATTCAGGTGTGGTTTGAACACGAATAACAATTTTATGCTCCAGGGGATGAGGCACTTTGTACCCTGCAAAACAGCACCTGGGGATCTTTTAGCAGTTGCCTGTGAGAAAATAAATACATATATAGTTTAGTAAAATATCAATAGCATAACATTTTCTGTAAAGGAGACTTATTTAAAAAAAAAAAAAAAAAAAATCTACAAACAGGTATTTGTGAATTATTATTGTTATTCAGGCAATGTGCTCACTCTGCTAATGGAAAATCAAAGCATACTCTGATTCCCTTTAATAAAAATGTTATAGTCCAATGCAACTAAACCAACATCTTACTAGGATCTTGTGTGGAACTGCAGAGTCAGTAGACATGCTGTCAACCACAGGGACTAACTTATCATGACAGCCAGCTGCACAAGAATGGAAAGATATAAAAACTATTGCTATTCAGAACACAATCTCCTGAAGGGCACATAAAAAAAAAATAAATTAAAAAAAATCAATAAAAACCGCACACATTACTGGAGTGTAGCCATCTTTTTTTTCCCTGACACCACAGGAATGAAAACGTTGATGCTTAGGCAACATTTATTGACCAGTATGTATAGAGGTCTATTTAAAAACATGTCATAATGTTATCATTTGCTTCTCACACAAATATTTCAGATGAAGGTACTGCACCATTAAAGTGATTCTAAAAGGAAAGAAATGTTATTATATTTTTATTTATATATATATATATATATATATATATATATAACAAATACATAAAATCAACACACACACATACACACACACACACACTATATACAGTGGGGCAAAAAAGTATTTAGTCAGCCACCAATTGTGCAAGTTCTCCCACTTAAAAAAGATGAGAGAGGCCTGTAAATTGGCATCATAAAATCAGAACTCAACTATGACCCCCCAAACCCCCCCAACAAAAAAAAAACCTAAAAACAAAAAAAAAAAACAAAAAAAAAACCCCCCCCCACCCCCCCCCCCCCCCCCCCAAACACACCACCAAAAAAAAAAAAACCCCACCAAAAAAAACAAACACCACCAAAAAAAACAAAAAAAACCCAAACAACACAAACAACACCAACCCCCCCAATGTCATATGGTCAGAAACAAAGAAACCAAAATAGAACTGTTTGGTAGAAACACAACTCGTCGTGTTTGGAGGAGAGAGAATGCGGAGTTGCATCCAAAGAACACCAAACCTACTGTGAAGCATGGGGGTGGCAACATCATGCTTTGGGCTGTTTCTCCGCAAAGGGACTAGGACAACTGATCCATGTACAGGACAAGAATGAATGGGGCCATGTATTGTGAGATTTTGAGTGCAAACCTCCCTCCATCAGCAAGGGCATTGAAGATAAAACGTGGCTGGGTCTTCCAACATGACAATGATCCCAAACATACCGCCCGGGCAACGAAGGAGTGGCTTCGTAAGAAGCAATTCAAGATCCTGGAGTGGCCTAGCCAGTCTCCAGATCTCAACCCCATAGAAAACCTTTGGAGGGAGTTGAAAGTCCGTGTTGCCCAGCGACAGTCCCAAAACATCACTGCTCTAGAGGAGATCTGCATGGAGGAATGGGCCAACATACCAGCAACAGTGTGTGCCAACCTTGTGAAGACTTACAGGAAACGTTTGACCTCTGTCATTGCCAACAAAGGATATATAACAAAGTATTGAGATGAACTTTTGATATTGACCAAATACTTATTTTCCACCATAATTTGCAAATAAATTCTTTCCAAATCAGCCAATGTGATTGTCTGGATTTTTTTTTCTCATTTTGTCTCTCATAGTTGAGGTCTACCTATGGTGCCAATTACAGGCCTCTCTCATCTTTTTAAGTGGGAGAACTTGCACAATTGGTGGCTGACTAAATACTTTTTTGCCCCACTGTACATACATACACATACATATACACACACATATTTAATACCAAACATTTTATGCTTACCTGCTCTGTGCAGTGGTTTTTACATAGAGCAGCCCCGATCCTCTATTTGGGTCCCCTGCCAGTGGTCCTGGTTTTCTCTCCCCCCGCCGAGTGCCCCAATAGCAAATCTCATGTCCGCTGACACAGAGAGTGACTTGGCCCTGTCCCCTGCTCTCTCCTCATTGGCTCACTGGCTGTGGTTGACAGCAGCAGGAGCCAATAGCTTCTGATGTTGTGCGAGCCAATGAGGAGAGAGAGACACCCCAGAGAGCTGCTACTCTCATGCACATCACTGGATTGAGATGGGGTTCAGGTAAGTATAGGAGGGATAGCTGTACCTAGAAGGATTTTTACCCTAAAATAAAAGTTTTTTTTCCCCTACCGTCTTTCAGGCCAGCACTCTGAGAGACCTCGGCTCCTCCCCTCTGAGGAAACACCTCCACCTACAATAAAAAAGCTCCACTCCCCTCTGACCTCAGTTCAGGTGTTTCCTCCGGTGGGGAGACACGAGGAGGCGCAGGAAGACGATAGGGGAGCCGAGGGCCGGATAGCCGGCTGTGAGGCCCGACGCAGCCGGGAGTGAAGGCCGGAGTGTCCGGCTGCATATCCTCCCAGGGCAGGCTGCCAGCAGTGAGAGTGCATCCCGGGGGACGGGACAGGGCACTTACCTGCTCTTCGCCCCCCGACCCCCTCCGGCGAGGGGGGGCGTCGGGGTGGCCGTGGTGAGGTCTGGGGAGGATCGGGGGAGTTCCGCTCCTTCCCATGCTGGCGGTCTGAGGGCTTTGCCGGGCCGGACGTCAGGAGACGGCGGTTTCCGGCGGAAGGGGCGGGGCTTCGCCCAGGGCCGCGACTTCCGCTTCCGGTCGCGGCCTTCACACCACGGCGGCGCGAAATTCAAAAATGGCGGTGCGGTGCACAGCGGTCTGGGGGACAGACCTGCACCAGGCGACCACCCTCCGGTACGGGATGTCAGAGGCACCGGGACCAGGAGATGCCAGCACCAGCCAGTCACAGGTAAGGTGCCTCAGTGGAGGCCTCCCCTACCTGTGGGCCCCTAGCAGGGGAAGGTAGGGCAAGGGGTCTGCGGTTTTTCAGGCCCTTGTTTGCTCTGCCGGGAAGCGGGGGGGGGGGGGTGTTTAGTGTCGGACTGATTGGGCTTCCCTCCTCCCCCCTTTCTTCTTTGTGTCTTTCAGGGCAAGGCCCGAGCTAAACTTAGGCACCAGAGCCCAAGCGGAGATGCCCTTCCTGTAAGGAGGTTTTAAAAGAATCTTGGCGAAAGGTTCTTTGTGGCCCCGTGTTACAGGGGTTGATGAGGGGAGGAGAAGCCGGAACAGGGGGACCTAGCCAGGTCAGTGAAGGAGTTTGGCTACCACCTTCGACTCCTTCAAGTCCCTCATGGAGAGGTTTGCCCTCCCATTACCTACACTTCCCCCCCCCCCAGGTGGCTTCGGTGAGTCGTCGGGAACCCTTATGACCGGGGAGGAACCAGTGGGGGACTCCCAGTCTGAGGAGGAATCAGCGGGTGAGGGTCCCTCGGAGGAAGGGAGGGGCCCCTCCCGGTATAAGTTGACCCTAGAGGAGGTTGATGAGCTCCTGGGGGCTATATACGAAACCCTGGACATTAAGGAGGAGGTTAAGGCCTTATCTCTCCACGACCAAATGTATCAGGGATTGAGGAGCACCAGCACAGAATGTTTCCTGTGCATGACATTTTGGTAGACACGATTAAGAAGGAGTGGCAGGACCCGGGAAAGGAAACCGTTCTTCTCAAAAGCATTGAGAAGGAGGTTTCCGTTTTCGGAAGACCCGGAGGCGGTCTGGAACAAGAGCCCCAGGCTAGACGCGGCCTTTTCCCAAACGACCAAGAGAACTGACCTAGCGTTTGAGGACATGGGGGTCTTACCAGACTTGTTGGACAGAAGGGCGGAGTCTCTCCTTAGGAAGGCCTGGGACTCGACCCTGTACAACCTGAAGCCGGCCATGGCTACGACAGTGGTAGCCAGGAACTTAGAGTATTGGCTTACGCAATTACAGGCCCATATTGTGGCAGACTCTCCCAAGGAAAAAATCTTGGCCTCTTTTGAGACCCTTTTGCAAGGAGTGGGGTATATTGCGGATGCTTCCGCAGAGTCGGTGAGATTGGGGGCCAGGTCTGCCTGCCCTGACTAATCAGCCAGAAGGGCGCTGTGGCTAAAGACATGGCAGGGGGACATCACTTCAAAAGTTAGGTTATGCGGCATCCCCCTCACAGGAGACTGTCTGTTCGGCCCGGGGTTGGAGGAATTATTGGACCGGACAGCTGATAGGAAAAAGTCCTTCCCCCTCAAGAGGAAAATGCAGGAGGGGGGGACACGGAAGGCCCGCCCAGCAAAGAGGCTGAGCCTGCGACGCCTGGTCAGGGTAGGTCGGCTGGACAGAGAGGTAGGGGAAGAGGGGAGCGATTTTTCGCCCTCCTGAGCAGCCCCCAAAAACCAAGGTGACTTGGTTCCTCATGTGGGGGAAGATTGGCGGCATTCCTCCCACAGTTGAAGCCGTGGTCACCAGCCCCTTCATTTTGGATGTCATCCGAAGGGGTTACCGTTAGAATTTCTGAGGCCGCCACCCGAGACTTTTCTGGTGACGACCCGTCCAAGGGATCCGACGAAGGACGCGGCTCTGGTGGGCGCTTTGGAGATTCTAGAGTCCCAGGGGGTCATCTCCAGGGTTCCAGTAGCGGAGCGAGGGAAGGGAGTTTATTTCCCATGTATTTGTGGTTCAAAAGCCGTCTGGGGCGTTCAGACTGATTTTGAACCTGAAACCCTTGAACAAATCAGTGCGTTACCGGAGGTTCCGCATGGACTCCATTTTTACAATCAGGTCCCTAATTCCACCAGGTGCATTCATGGCATCCATAGACTTGAAGGACACCTACCTACACGTGCCGTGGCGGAAGCCTCTCAGAGGTTCCTCAGGTTGGCAGTGGGGGGGGGGGGGGGGGGGGGGGGGGGGGGGGGGGGGGGGGGGGGGGGGGGTGGGGGGAGGAAGGAATTCGACACTGGCAGTTCAGGCTCTTCCATTCGGCCTTTCCTCCTCGCCAAGAGTATTCACCAAGGTTCTGTCGGAGGCACTGATCTCTATCCGCTTAAGGGGATTTCAGTGGTGGCCTATCTGGACGATTTGCTGCTCTTCGCGGATTCAGAGGCTCACTTACGGCAAGACCTGGTTATAGTGAGGAACCATCTGGAAAGCTTGGGGTGGATTTTGAATCTGGAGAAAGTCCTGCCTGGTGCCTTCTCAGAAGGTATTTACTTGGGCTACACTCTAGACTCGGTAGACCAAAAGACCAGCCTGACTTTGGAAAAAGTCACCAAGTTGGAGGCCGGAGTCAGATTACTGCAGGGGAGCAGGTCGATGTCCATAAGACAGGCCATGTCGGTACTTGGATTGCTGACAGCGTCCATTCCGGCGGTTCAGTGGGCAGGTCTGCATATGCGTCCCCTCCAGTTGTGGATCCTGAGGGTTTGGGACAGGAAGTGTCACTCCCTAGAACGCAGGGTCTTGGTGCCCCCCAGTGTGAAAAGGTCTCTATGGTGGTGGAGGAGATCGTCCAGCATAACTCAGGGCTGTTGTGGTGCTTTCCGATTTCCGCGGAGGTCACTACGGATGCCAGTGCCAGGGGCTGGGGAGCCCACCTGGGAAATTTGGTGACTCAGGGGGAATGGTCCTTAGGGCAGAAGGGCAAATCCTCGAATTGGAAGGAATTGTGGGCAGTGTGGGAGGCTCTGCACTCCTTCCAGGCGGGGGTCACGGGCCAGCACGTGCGTGTCCTGACGGACAATGCCACGGCAGTGGCTTATATAAACAGGCAGGGAAGGACGCGGAGCAAGGCCCTCGGGGCCTTAGCGGCGACACTGTTGTCCTGGGCAGAGCTGAATTTGGCGTCCCTGTCTGCGATACACTTAAAGGGGGAGCTGAACCAGAAGGCAGACTTCCTGAGCAGGACTCGGCTCAGGGAGTCGGAATGGGCCTTGAACCCCGATGTCTTTTGGGAGATTGTGCGAAGGTGGGGATCCCCGGGAGTGGACCTTTTTGCCTCCGGAAGGAACAACAAGGTCCCAAATTTTCTTCTCTCTATCCCGCTGGGACTGGGTCCAGAGCGGGTGGACGCATTAGGTCAAGAGGTGTTTTTTTGTCAGAGAGGTGGGACTACCGGCTTTGTTACGCCTTTCCCCCCCGGTTCCTTTGCTCCCCCTGGTCCTGAGGAAATTCAGGACGGAGGGGACCCTCGTTAATCCGGATAGCTCCCTTCTGGCCGCGGCGGGCGTGGTTTGCGACCCTAAAGAGTTTGGCCTCTCGTCCACCCTGGGAGCTGCCAACAAGAGAGGATTTGTTAACACAGGGGCCGTTCTTTGCCCCAGCGTAGGAATGATTGCGGTTAACGGCCTGGTTTCTGAGCAGCAGCTCCTCTTAGAGAAGGGGTTCTCGCCTAGGGTGGTGGCGACATTACTGGCCAGTAGGAAGGTAGGAGGACCCAGGCCATTTAATGGTAGGGTCTGGGGTTGCTTTACAGCCTGGTGTGACCGGACAGCGGTGGCAACCCATAGTTTGGTTCTGTGTTGGAATTCCTGCAGGCGGGAGCGGACAAGGGATTGTCTGTCAGCACGCTCAAGGGCCAGGTCTCGGCCCTCAGTGTGTTCTTGGAGATGCCCCTGGCCAGGGAGGCGTTGGTGAGTAGGTTTTTCAAAGCGCTGGTGAGGCAGAGGCCTCCGAGGTCCAGACCATTTCCGGTGTGGGATTTGGCCAAGGTGCTCGGGGGGATGACTAGGGCTCCGTTCGAGCCCTTGGAGTCCTGTCTGATAGGTGAGCTCACCATTAAAACGGCTTTTCTGGTGGCAATTACCACGGCGAGGAGGGTGTGTGAAATGGAGGCCCTCTCGATCAGAACACCTTATCTCCGTATTTTTTCAGACAGGATCGTTTTCAGACCAGACCCGTCCTTCATTCCGAAGGTAGCTCGGAGTTTCCAGAGGGAACAGGACATTGTCCTTCCCTCGTTTTTTCCTGACCCGGTGGGGGTAGATCAGGAGAGGTATCATTGTTTAGATGTCAGAAGGTGCGTTCTCCAGTATCTAGAGAAATCTAGGGAGTTCAGAAGCACCGAATCCCTTTTTGTTTTTTTTTTTTAAGGGGGCTAGAAGAGGCAAGAAGGCGTCTAGAAGGACGCTGGCCAGCTGGGCTGCGGCTGGCGATTACAGGAGCGTATCAGGCAGAAGGCCTGGAGGTCCCGGAGGGTATCAAGGCACATTCCACCCGAGCTGTGGCGGCTACCCAGGCAGAGTTAGCAGGGGTTCCCCAGGGCAGATTTGCAGAGCGGCAACATGGTCCAGCTATGACACATTTGCCAAGCATTACAGACTGACTGGACCTGGTCTCGTGCAGGAGCAGGACTTTGGTCGTAAGGTCTTACAAGCAGTTAGCCCGCCCGAAGGTGAGTACTCGCTTATCCTCTCAGAGTGCTGGCCTGAAAGACGGTAGGGGAAAAAACAAGTTACACTTACGGTAACGTCTTTTCCAGGAGTCTTTCAGGCCAGCACCGGTTTCCCACCCACTGTTGATATTGGTTATGTGAAGATGGCTTATTATGATTATGTTGTCTCGCATTGTGTCTCCCCAGATGACAGGAGGATGCTTGGAGAACTGAGGTCAGAGGGAGTGGAGCTTTTTTATTGTAGGTGGAGGTGTTTCCTCAGATGGGGAGAGCCGAGGTCTCTCAGAGTGCTGGCCTGAAAGACTCCTGGAAAAGACGTTACCGTAAGTGTAACTTGGTTTTTTTTAAAAAGTATACTTACCTAGGTGGATGCAGCATCAGACCAATGCTGCATATGTCCCCCGCCGCCTCCCAAGTGTGAGAACTCAGTGATCACATAACCGCTGATCACCGCCGCTGTGAGCAGAGAACAGAACAGTGACTATCAGTCCCCGCTGTCTGCTCTGGCCCCTCCCTGACATGCTCATTGGAGCGCTGAGCTATGGTGGGGGAGAGAGCGACTGGTTTAGGCTCTCAGCAGTTTGCTGAGAGGCTGAGCCAGGTGCCGCTCCAGACTCTGGGTGGATCTTGACTTTAAAGTCAGGATCTTTCCTCAGCCCGGACGAGTGACATCAGCCTGCTGTCAGCTGAAAATGGGTCTCAGGAGTGCCTAACAAACTGCGCTCCTGTGATCCACAGAAGTACAGACAAAAGAGCTTTGGCTTTACTTCTCCTTTAATACAGAGAATGCATAAGGTAAAAAACTTTGAGCCTTTAGAATCACTTTAAAGATGGCAAAAAATTGTAAAAGCAGCAAAAGAAAAAAAAAGAAAGGGTACAATGTGAGTTGCATTATTTCGTCCGTATGCATGAAGCTTAAAACACACATTTGACACATGGCACAATTGAGCAAGCAACTTATTTCAAAGTCCACCTTTGGGACCTGTTACATGTTCCACCCATTTTTTAGGGTGAACATGTAGCATGGTCTGATCCTGCAGCTGCTGTCCAATGACCCCCTCCATGTGACAGAAGTACTAGCGGTCAATTTTCAATTCACAGTGTTCTGTGAATGAATGGACTACAATTCCCAACTGTGAGAAATGTGGTAGTTTATTTAGTCTTCCTGTCAGAAAGTATCAGCTTGCCTGTACAGGATGTATGAGCAAGGAAATACATTGAGTCTGCAGGAGACCTGCATGGCACCAGCGATCTGCTGATCGCTGGTGCAATGCTTTCCAGGCTCCCAACACAAAAAAATAATAAAAAATGCACATTGTTTACCTGCAAAAAAAAATAAAATAAAAAAATGTGCATTGATTATTTTTGGTGGAAGGGTGAACTTATCCTTTCAGCAAATGCAGCCAAATTCCCTCTCAGACTCCAGCCTTCTCACTGGATAATGAAACCACATTGTCATGAAATAACTTTGAAGAGGTATAAATCCATTTTTAGTTTTGGACAGTGAATAAAACCACTACCTTTTTTTTTTTTTTTTTCTACAAGTGTCTTGTGTAGTTTCCCCTTCACCATTTGTCTCAGACACACAAAAGGGAGTGAGGAAAACTATCTTAGGGAAGGAAAACCCCTCTTTTAGAGAGGTCACTGCAGCCAAGGTCCCCAATAAAGATTTCAACTGCATTCCTTTCCTTGTGACAACATTTTTTATACCCCATCTGTTCTAGTGACCATTGGGTCAACAGGATAATTATATTTTTCAGTTTCATCCCACATCTCTTTATGAAAAACTCCTCTTTATTCAAAAATACTGCACTGACAACACAGCTACATACCAAAATGACTCAGGGCTTCTGTACCTGTGAGCGTATTTTAAAGTGTTACTAAATCCACAACAGTAAAATCAGTCTGTATATGCAGTAAAGCATGCTTGTTATTCTCACTGTGGAACCTAAGGGGGTAATCCTCTGCATTGTGTAAAAAGGCTGTTTGATCCTGCCTTCTCTGATCCTCCCCTTCTCCCAGCGTCCCCCTCTCTTTATCGCCTGATAAGACATATCGTGTGGAGACACTCTGCACATTCTCAGTTTGGTGTATATTGCTAAAGAGGTTTATTTTTTTTTTCTTAGTAGAGTGCATGTGATCAGCACAGGGCCAATCAGCACTATCCAGACAGAGGTCAGGGTCCTACATTTTCCTAGAGAAGAAAGAAAACTCCTCCTACAAGCTTTAACATGTGCTCTGCTGAACACTGATATAAGTCACAAGACTGCTCTAACTGCTGATGAGAAAAGGTATTTAGCAGTTTATATTTACTAAAATAAATACTTTTCCACGTGTGTACAGTGAGAAATCAGATAGAGTGAATGCAGGGTCCTGGGTTTAGTAACACTTTAGGTAGCAGGTCCCACTAAATATATTGACTTACGATTTAATGATATTTCCAATGGTATGATCTTCCTTGTTTATAGTGAACAAACAGGCATTTTGTACCTTTGTGTCCTTGGTGATTGTTATTCTACGAAGAGAAAAAGAAGATATATAAATTATCTATTCAAAGACACCAGGCCAAAGTTTTGCCCGTGATACTTTTTATATGCATGAAGAGTTACATTTTCAGGAACCTGCTGTACTTTTTTTTTTTATACCTGGGGCTGTATTTTCTGAATAGTTGCTTTAAAAGCCATATCTGGACTATTTTTTTTCTTTTAATTATTTGGATAAGTAGAGAAGGATTAGAACCCCTGTTTAAGTTTTATTATGGTCTCCATTTTTCCTGCAGAAGCTTCCCTTTCATTTTATCCCTATGATTTCACGTCAAGAAATAAAGGAAAATGGGTATTAGTTGTATGGGAAGCCCTAGAAAGCAATAGAACGTCTCACACGTTTTATCCATTCCCTCCTCCACTAGAAAGTCTTGTTAGTACTGGGTCTGCACCCATTAAATAGATTTCCCATCACATTCTCTTCCTGTGACACACTGTCACTAGGACAGAAAGTGAGTGGGAAATCCCTAAAAGGAACACAGACAGTAATAAAATTCTAACCCTAATCACAGAAAACAAGAGGTTGGGTTTTAAATATATAGAATGTGTCCACATAAGACATGAGCTTTATTTTCAGCTATAAATTCAAACATATATCCTACAAATATTGTACACAGGTAGTTCTCATTACACAAATATGTGTTTGATTTGAAAAGACTATCATCGAAAAACAAAAAAATTCCAAAAAACATCACTTTCTAAAAAAGATGCACAGTACATTTACAGCAGCCAGCAAATCCAATCTTTACGTACTTCAAGCAAAGTTTGCATTTGCTAACCAATAGGTACCATTTTCAGAATTGTTTTCATTGGTGACAGAGGGACTTCAACGCGTTTGTAAACCCATAATCATTTTTTGGCATCATGTCTCAGTTTTTACAGTTTAAGGTAATCATTTTTTGTTACTCTCTTGTGAAGTTTTTTACACGGAAATCCTGCCAGAATTCACTTCCCATAGCAGGCTGACCAGACTAAGCCACTGCCTGTTATGTACTTACTAACACCTTTCTTCCCAGTCCCCAGGACAGTGTTACTCCTGCCCATGCCCCACACTAAACATGCTCACATTCTGGATGGTCCTGCCTACCTTCTGGGCAGTTGCACACCTAATTAGATGGGAACTGCCCTCTCGTGGCCATGATCCCCTCAGAGAACACCCCCTTTTTTTTTTTAAACTTGCTGTGTATGCTCAGTAGCTAAAATAAGGGTAATGATGTAATCTCGTTACACGTCATCGTCGGAACAGAAATGCAAGACTGGCCTGGCAAATCTGAGACAGCTGACATCTGAGCCATTGTCAACCCACCATGCAAGCACCCTCAGTTGGCCAATGGTCTGATAGAAAGCCCAACAGGGCACAGAATGAGCTTACATGGAAGACTAACAACACTGCTGCGAAGCATCGTAGCGTTGTCATCCTGCACGAGGCAGTGCTGTTACTGGCAGGATCCCCAGGTAAGAAACTTTGCAACAGAGTCTTAAAATATGATTGGCTTACAGACCTGAAATTGTGCTCAGGGCACTGATGATCAGTGTGCCCTGATGATCAGTGTAGCCCCAGCAGTGCCACCTGTCAGTGTCTATCAGTGCCTTGTGTCAGTGCTCATCAGTACCACATCAATGCCACATATCAGTGCCTACCAGTGCACATCAATGCCACATATCAGTGCCCATCTGAGCTGCCTTTCAGTGTCAATCAGTGCAACCTATCAGTGCTGCCAGTCAGTGCCGCCTAACAGTGCCATATATCAGTGCTGCCTTTCAGTGCCCATCAGTGATGCCTGTCAATGCCCATCAGTGGCACCTACCAGTGCCTCATCAGTGCCACCTATCAGTGACCATCAGTGCAGCCTATCAGTGCCCATCACTGCAGCCTCATTAGCGCACATCAGTGAAGGAGAAAAATCACTTATTTACAAAAACTAAGAAAAAACTTTTTTTTTTCTTCAAAATTTTCAGTGGATTTTGGTTTAAGAAAAAAAAAAAAAACCCAGAAGTGATTAAATACCACCAAAATAAAGCTCTGTCACAAAAAAATGATAAAAATGTCATATGGGTACAGTGTTGCATGACCCGCAATTGTCACTCAAAGTGCGACAGCGCTGAAAGCTGGAAATTGGCCTGGGCAGGAAGGGGGTATAAGTGACCTGTAGGCTAGTGGTTAAAGTACATGAAATGTATTTTATAAGGTAAAACTAAAGTCAAAACTTTAGGAAGGGTTATAACCCCTGTTATAGACTGTGTAGACCAATAATACATTTTTTCTGGAATTTATTTTTTTTTTTCTTTTGTTTTTACCTGCAGATTTACTTCAATACATTGTGGACCAGACAAACCTTTTTGTTCAGCAATATATTGATAACAATCCAAATACATCCCATGCCAGTCCTTTTTAATGGAGACATCTCACAGTGGAGGAGTTAAAATAGCTTTTGGGCATTTAACATGGGGCTTACAAAAATAACAAACAAAAACAAATTGCATGCTTGCTAGTCCACCAACCCCATCCATCATATGCCCATTTATTCTGCTGTAATGTCCAGGTCACGCCATGATCTGATCATGCGATTCCTGCATTTCAATAACTCACAGCGCCCTCTCCTAGATCATCCAAACTGTACAAAATCCGCCCCCTAATACATTCTTTTGCTAAGAGATTTGCAGAACTTTATGCCCCTAAGCAACACGTTTGTGTGGATGAATCCCTTGTCCACTTCACTGGCTGAGATTTAAGCAATTCACTCCCAGTAAAAGGGACAGGTATGAATTGAAGCTGAACAAGCTCTGTGAAAGAGCTATAGGATATGTGCATGTCTTCCGTGTGTATGAAGGCAAAGACTCCCAGCTCCAGCCCCCTAAGTGTCCAACCTACAGCGGCACAAGTGGTAAAATTGTCTGGGACTTGGTATTCCCACTGTTCCAAAAAGGTTATATCTACCTTGATAACTATACCAGTCTGCCCTTTTCCGGCACCTGTACCGTGAGAAAACCTTAGCCTGCAGTACCACCCAAAAAAACAGAAAGGGCTTCCCACAAAGTTTAGTAACCACAAGGCTACAAAGGGGGGAATCTGCAAGCCTGAGAAAGGAGGAAGTGTTGGCCATGCAGTGGAGGGATAATAGAGATGTTTATGTCCTGTCCACCATCCGCGACACCTCATTGGAAATTTACGGAAGACACAGTCCTAGCCAAAAACCTGAATATATGCACGATTATAATCGGTTCATGAGGGGGTGGATTTAAATGATCAGATGCTACAGCCCTATTTGTCAACAAGAAAGTCCCTCTTCTGGTATAAAAAAGTTGCTATTTATTTTTTCCATTTAGCCATTTACAATGCGTTTGTCATCTATCAAAAGTCAACGGAAAGACTCACCACCTTTCTCAAATATATAGAAGAAATTATCACTGCCCTGATCTACCAGCAAGTATCCCCCCAGAAAACATTTGCTCTGACTGTGTGAGCAGACTTCACGAGCAACATTTTCCAGAAAACATTCCACCCACAGAATCAGGAAGAAGGCGCCAAAAAAAATGTCGGGTATGCAGCAGAAGTTAGGAGAGACATCAGTGTTCATTGTCCCCAGTGTCCCTACCAACGGGGCCTATGCATCGGAGACTGCTTCTGATGTTGTCACACTACATAAAATATTAGTTCCCCTTATTTTCAACAGCCTGTCATTTTCCAGTTTCTAAAATCTGTGCTGATCATTTGCCTGCTGCCTTGATTGATCATGCCTCTGCCTACCACGTTAACTGACCCTGGCCTGTTTACAGACAATGCCTCTGCCTGCCGTCTGGATTGTTTCTAAACTGCTTTTCTGCCTTCCATCTAAACTGACCTCTGGCCTGTTTGCTGACAGTGCTTTTGCCTGCCTTTGGGATTGTTTCTAAATCACGTTTCTGCCTTCCACCTGCAGTGACCTTGGCCTGTTAATCAACCGTGTTTTTTGCCTGTCGCTTGAACTGTTCTTTTGCTCTGCTACTGTAGTAGTGGGATGCAAGATAAAACAGGGGTATCACATATGGGAGGAGCTTCAGAGTAGAGAAAACCAGTTATTGGTTTTCACCAGGTTTAGTAATTTCCGGATCAGGGTCTGTTAGTCTGGAGGCTTCGAAGAGATTGAGTGGGATGAAGCCTCTACCCCTGTGGCCAGGTCTTATCTGACCGATGCCCTAAGCCCGATATTCCTTCCTGCTGCCTGGACCAATACTGTGCTGACCAGATCTATGCCTGCTGCCTGTAATGACCCAGGACTTTTTTTTGGACTATTTGTTTGGCTCTTGCTGACCACATCTCGGCCTGCTTCCTGGACCACTGCTCTCCTCTGCAGACAGCTGCTCTACCACAGGTAATCATCTTCTGTTTACCCTTTGTTTAGCTAGGCTGCGGAAAAAAATCTCATGCATATGGTATTGCCATACTCAGGAATAGCAGAATGTAGTTTGGGGTGTAATTCTTGCTATTTCTATGCTGTGTTTTTATAAATATCTTATAAACTGACAGCTTTGTGTAATAAAAAAAAAATTCTCATTTTCTTTCCATATTTTTCAAAAACTAGTGGAAAAAAAAAAAAAGACATGTTCAAAAGATTAATTATGTCTCATAGAATATACGTTGGGGTGTTTGCTTTCCAAAATGGGGTAATTTTTTGGGCGTTTCCACTATCCTGGTTACATAGTTAATTTGGCTGAAAAAAGTCCATCCAGTTCAACGATTAAAAAAAAAAAAAAGTTATAATCCTATATCCACAGTTGATCCAGAGGAAGGCAAAAAAAACCAGCAAAGCACGATCCAATTTGCTCCTGCAGGGAAAAAAAAAATCCTTCTTGAGCCCCCAAAAGGCAATTGGATATTTCCTGGATCAACTTTACCTATAAATGTTAGTATCCAGTTATATTCTGTGTATCCAAGAAAGAATCCAGGCCTTTTTTGAAGCAATCCACTGAGCTGGCCAGAACCATCTCTTAAAGGAGTCTATTCCACATTTTCACAGCTCTCACTGTGAAGAACCCTTTCCGTGTTTGGAGATTAAATTTCTTTTCCTCCAGACGTAAAGAGTGCTCCTTGTCCTCTGTGACAACCTCAGGGTGAATAACTCTAAACCGAGTTCACTATATGAACCACTGATGTATTTATACATGTTGATCATATCTCCCCTTAATCTCCTCTTCTCAAGATTCTCAAGAGAGAATAAATTCAGTTCCTCTAATCTTTCCTCATAGCTGATCTCCTCCATGCCTCGCATCAGTTTGGTTGCCCTTCTTTGTACTTTCTCCAGTTCTCCAATGTTCTTTTTGTGAATTGGTGCCCAAAACTGAACTGCATATTCCAGATGAGGTGTTACTAATGATTTGTACAGGGGTAATATGATATCTCTCTCTGGAGTCTATACCTCTTAATACAAGAGAGGATTTTACTCGCTTTAGAAACCTCAGCTTGGCATTGCATGCCATTATTAAGCTTGTGATCTACCAGAACTCTCAGATCCTTCTCCACCATTGATTCCCCCAGTTGTACTCCCCCTAGTATGTATGATGCATGCATATTCTTAGCCCCCAAGTGCACAACCTCACATTTAGCAACATTAAACCTCATTTGCCACATAGTTGCCCAATTAAACAGTGCATTGAGGTTGGCTTGTAAATTGAAGACATCCTGTAAGGACGTTATTCCACTGCATAGCTTGGTGTCATCTGCAAAGACTGAAATGGTATTTAATCCCAGACCCTATATCATTTATAAATATATTACAAAGTAAGGGTCCCAACACTGAACCTTGGGGTACACCACTGACAACCCTAGACCATTCAGAGTATGAATCATTAACCATTACTCTCTGAATACGATCTTTTAGCCAATTTTCTATCCATTTACATATGGATTTTTCCAAGCCCGTAGACTAGAGATGAGCGAATTATTCAAAAATTCGATTCGGCTGATTCGCCGAATTTGAGGAAGAAATTCGATTCAATGCGAATTTATTCGCTACGAATTTAACTTATAAAAAGGGTTTCTAGGCTTCAGAGAGCCTTTATATTAGTGCAGAAGAAGAGAAGGAGAGGATGAGAAGAAGGAGAAGGAGAAGGAGAGGAGAAGGAGAAGGATGAGAAGAAGGAGAAGGATGAGAAGAAGGAGAGAAGGAGAAGGATGAGAAGAAGGAGAAGGATGAGAAGAAAGAGAAGGAGAAGGATGAGAAGAAGGAGAAGGAGAAGGATGAGAAGAAAGAGAAGGAGAAGGATGAGAAGAAGAAAGGAGGAGAAGGATGAGAAGAAGAAGGAGGAGAAGGATGAAGAAGAAGAAAGAAGAAGAGAAGAAGAAGGAGGAGAGAAGAAGAAGGATGAGAAGAAGAAAGGAGAGAAGATGAGAAGAAGGAGAAGAGAAGAAGAAGGAGAAGGATGAAAGAAGAGAAGAAGAGAGAAGAGAAGAGAGAAGAAGAAGAAGAAGGAGAAGGATGAGAAGAAGAGAAGGATGAGAAGAAGGAGAAGGAAGAAGAAGATGAGAGAAGAGAGGAGGAGAGAAGAAGAAGAAGAAGAAGGAAGAGAAGAAGGAGAAGGATGAGAAGAAGAAGAGAAGAAGGAGAGAAGAAGAAGAAAGGATGAGAAGAAGAAGGAGAAGGATGAGAAGAGGATGAAGAAGGAGAAGGATGAGAAGAAGAAGAGAGGAAGGATGAGAAGAAGGAGAAGGATGAGAAGAAGAGAAGGAGAGAAGAAGGAGAAGGATGAGAAGAAGGAGAAGGAAAGAAGAAGAAGGAGAAAGGAGAGAAGAGAAGAAGGAG